CAATGGTGAAAAATAAGGAACGAGTACCCAGCGTGTGCTAGGCTTCATTTCAAGTGCGGGGCATATGTCAATGGATCAACCAAACAGAAGTCCCTTCCCGTGTGCCTCTGAAACACCTGGGGAGAGCATCCTGAGGGGAAGGTGCTGTGCGTGCTGAAACCGGGGGATGGGGAGGGCTTGGAGCATCCAGCAGGTGCACTGCCAGCTGCTGCGGAGAGAGAGCCAGGAAGTCAGGGGGACAGAGGGGCCTGGGTTGAGCCTGGCAGGATTGGCCCCCCCGTTCGGGCCAGGAGCAGAGGGACCACTGGCTAAACAGGCCACAGGGAATCCTCATGCCCCTGCCCACGCCTGTCCCTGCTGCCCGCAGATCATGCTGCTGGAGACGGCCCGACGCTACAACCACGAGACGGAGTGCATCACTTTCCTGAAGGACTTCACCTACAGCAAGGATGACTTCCACCGCGCAGGTGTGGCTGGGAACAGGCTGGCGGAGGGGCGGGAGGTGGTGGCCTGCCCCACCCCTGTCCGTGCCTCCAGTTGCTTCATCTATAAAGTGGGGTGAGGGTCGGGGCACCCTGAGAGTCAGGGAAGGGCCGGTGGATGGAATGCTGGCTGCCCAGCAGGGCGCGGTGCAGCATGAGGCAGAGGGGTCTCTGTAGTCACCTGAGGCCTCTCGGTGGGGATTGAGAAAAGACACTCCCTTCTCCCACAACCTGGTCTCACCTGAGGGAAGCTGGATCTTGGTCCACTGTGAAGTGTGTGACCGACCCTACTCTGCAGGGTACCCCTAGTCCCTGCCCTTGACCAGCACTTCACTTGGGGGTGTGACCCAGGTGGTGGGCTTTTGGAGGAAGTGCAGGTGAGCCGAGGCCAAGGGGTGAGGGGTGAGAGGCATCACCTAGGGAGAGGGAGGTGGGAAGAGCATCGCCTGTGGGAGCTGAGTGCACAGAGGCCTCTGTGTCTCTGCCTCTGATCTGTCTCAGTCACCCTGCTCTCTCCCTGGGGCACCTTTCTGCACTTCCCAGATGTCTGCTGACTCCTTCCCTTTAACTTCTGGCCCTCCAAACACTGAACACTGGGGCAGTCCCAATAACCCTTTCAGTATGAGCTTGTCAGGGGAGCATGGGGGTGGAGTGGGGGGCTGTGTTTCTGGGGGGTGGGCAGCATGTGCAGAGTCCCCTGAGATGGGAAAGAGCTGGATGGATTTGAGGAACCACAAGGAAGCCCATGCAGCTGGAGTGCAGAGATAAGGCTGGGGTCCCACCACATCCCCCCATCCGCTGCCCCTGCCACAGGCCAGGCCTCAGTTGTCCCCCTACAACATTGCAAGGGTCCCTCGCTGGTCTCCCACCTCCACCCCTGCCCAACATGCTTGTTCGTGTAGCGGTCAGAAGGATCCTATGAACACCCTAGTCAGCTCACGTGGCTGTGCTCAGAACCCTCTATGGCTCCCGTTTTCCCGGGAGAAAAGGGTACCAGGGACCCTCGCTCACTCTGTTCCAGCCATACTAGGCTCTTCTTTCTTTTTTAAAACATTTTATTTATGTATTTTTAGAGAGAGGGGAAGGGAGGGAGAAAGAGAAGAAGAGAAACATCAGTGTGTGGTTGCCTTTCCTGCACCTCCTACTGGGGACCTGGCCCACAACCCAGGCATGTGCCCTGACTGGGAATCCAACCTACGACCCTTTGGTTCATAGGCTGGTGGTGCTCAGTCCACTGAGCCACAGCAGCCAGGGCTCTTCCCTTTTACTTGAAGCCACCAAATGTGATCACGTCTCAGAGCTGTTGTACTTGCTGTTCCCTTTGCTCTGAAATGGGCTGACCTCATGGCCCAGAAGGCCAGCCAGGCCCAGGCAGAACAGCTGGCAGTACGCCACCTGCAACACGCATGTCCTCGTACCTCGCTCCCTCCCCTCCTTCAGTGCTCAGAGGTCACCCGACGGCAAGGCCTTCCTGCAGTGCCACCCCCAGTGACCACCTTGTCTGAGATGCTGACATGATTCTCAGCGGTCCCTGTTTCCTGCCCTGCGTTCCCTTGACCTGTAGTCCTCATCGCTGTCTTGCAGTCTGGATAGGTGATGGATTTGTCTGCCACCTGTTCCCTCGCCCCAAACATACGTTCCACAGAGCATGGCCTTTGTCTCGTAAATGGCTCAACCTGGGGCCTAGCAGGTAGAGGTGCCTAGTGAGGTTTGAGGAAGGAATGAGCCACTCTTGAGAATGAGTGCAGCTTCCGCCCTGAGAGTAGTGGAAGCTACCACAGGGGGTGACACGAGGTGACCTCGGCTTAGAAACCTTTCCCTCTCCTGAGGAGAGGTGCCGAGGGGCTGGGAGGACGTGAAGGTGGGTACGGGGTAGAAAACACTGAAGAAGGGGTCGCTCTCCTTACTCCCTCACTCCGGCGAGATTCGTGGCACATCTGCTCTGTGCCCAGCTCTTTTATCCGAGGCAGTGGGGACACAGAGGGGAGCAGCAGTGACAGGAACATTAGGATGGCTGCTGTTTTCCTCATCCCGCCGGGCAGAGTCAGGGTCCTGGTGAGGGGCCGTTTCTGGGGGACGAGTTTAAGAGGCGGGCCTCCCACCCTGCAGGCCTGCAGGTGGAGTTCATCAACCCCATCTTCGAGTTCTCCCGGGCCATGCGGCGGCTGGGCCTGGACGACGCTGAGTATGCCCTGCTCATCGCCATCAACATCTTCTCCGCGGACCGGCCCAACGTGCAGGAGCCAAGCCGTGTGGAGGCGCTGCAGCAGCCCTACGTAGAGGCGCTGCTCTCCTACACGCGCATCAAGCGGCCACAGGTAGCAGAGCTCACCCCTCCGGGCAGAAGAGACACGATCCTGCCGTCCGGGGAGGGACAGAGTCCAGACCCGTGTGGGGTCAGGCATCCTGGTCTGGGCCTGGCTTGTCTGATCCCCAGCAGCACTCCGAGCTCTGGCTGATGTCCTCTGCACAGAGCCTGTCCTCAGGGCCCCATGCCCTGACCAAGGAGCCAGGGGTGGGGTCCCCACAGCCTCGCTAGCCTCCGGCTCAGCCTGGGGAGGGAGGCCCTCCTGGTGGGCCGACCAGAGCCTCACAGGGCAGGACTTGGCCAGCACCCACCAGTCTCCCGTCCCCCACAGGACCAGCTGCGCTTCCCTCGCATGCTGATGAAGCTCGTGAGCCTGCGCACGCTGAGCTCCGTGCACTCGGAGCAGGTCTTCGCCCTGCGGCTCCAGGACAAGAAGCTGCCACCTCTGCTGTCTGAGATCTGGGACGTCCATGAGTGAGGGGCCCGGCCACCGTCCCCCACCACCCTGCGCTCTCCAGCAAATGGATGTGGTCATCCCTTCCTCCTCCTGGGGCGGGGAGGAGCGGGGCCCTGGCCCTGCCAGCCTGTAGCCCTCAGGATAAGCCCTAGTCAGGGTCCAGGAAGCTTCCTCCCTGCCCATTGAGTCTTCCTGGGAGGTGTGCATGGTCACAGGTCCTGACCTCTGACCTCTCCAAGCACTCCCAGCTGCCCTCCCCGCCCAGCTTACACCTTGAGCCCACTGCGCAATGCACCTTGAACAGAAGGAGGGGAGGGCCCATGGCTCTCTCCCACAGCCTGAGAGATCTCAGGCCTCCTCTCCCTCTGCTCCTTTTATTTAATAAAAACTAAAAAAAAAGACACACACACAAAAACAGGAAAATAAAATATGAATAGAAACCTGCTCTGAGCCAGAGTGAATCAGAGATGGACAGGAGATGGGCTGCCAGGGTCTTCATCTACATTGGCCCCTGGGGCTGGTGGGTGGGGTGGGAGGTTGAGGGGGTCCAGGAGACTCCCCTGATGGTCCCAGGGTCACCTGGTACAAGGTGAGTTGGAGCCAACTAATAAAAGACGGAGAATTTAAGTGATGAGGGTATTGGGGCATTCACTCAGTCAAAAAATACTTGCTGAAGCCACCTGTGGCCATTCTGGGGACCCAGATGTCCCCCAACAAGTAGGTACGGAGCATTTCCTGTGCACTAAACACAGCTTTAGGCACTGGAAACATCAGTGGGCAAGACAAAGTCCCTCCTCAGAGGTGGTTACAAGTCAGGGCTGGCGGTCCCAGGGATATGGGAACAGCCCGAATTTAAGGGGATAGGGGCTTTAACGGGGGCAGCAGGCAGCAGGGTGGGTGCTGGAGGAGAAAGTCAGGCAGGGCTTCACAAAGATAATGTCCCAGCTGAGACCTAAACTATGAGAACAAGGAACCTGGGCCCCGGAGTTGAACGGCACATGCTGACTGGAAGGTGAGAGGCCCGGTTGAGTCCAGAATAAGGAGGGAGACCATGGAGTTCTCGTAATTCCTTCTCCTGCTTTGCGAGGCCCTCAGGGAACATCGAAGGGAGTCGGATGGACGTCCCGGCTGAGGGTGAAAGGGGTTTGCTTGGAGAGATAGTCTGGGTACCGAAAAGTTTTTTTATAGGACAGGGGAAAGGGGGCGGCAGGCATAGGAGTAGTTATAAACAGTGAGCCGGGCGCCACACAGGTATGCCCGACCCGCGCTAAGTCTAGTTTACAGACGGGGAAACTGAGGCCGTGGGATGGAAGAACAGACCAGGGTGGGCCCTGAGCGCGTGTAGCCTAACAACTGCGGAGAGGGTAGACATTCAGGCTGCAAAGATGGGCACGAAGTTCAAGCAGTTCTCTGGAACTGGCCTCGGGCGGCAGGCGGCGGGTCGGCCGTTGGTTTGGAGTTTGCAGAGGCTGCGCGCGCAGCGCCAGAGGCTGGTGGGTGGGGAGTGTGTTCTCGGGCTGCTGCGCTAGCAGCCTGCGCGCAGCCATCCAGCGGCCGCAAGGAGGTTTGTAACTTTGCGCCGCACTAGTCCACAAGGGCGGGGTTTGTCCACGAGGGGACAAGGCCACAACCCAGATTGGAAGGAGGGGGCGTGGTCTTCCCTCCAGCTGGAAGGATGGGGGTGTGGCTCAGGGCCATGTTGGGCGTGGCCCCGCCCATGTTGGGCGGAGGGGCGTGGCCCATCTTGGCGCGCCGCGGCTCTGGGCCTGCGCGTGCGGGAGTCAGGGGTCACGGCGGCGTAGTCTGTGGCGGGAAGCGCTGTTTGAAGCGGGTGAGTAAAGGCAGGAAAATTGCAAGGGACTCCGCCTGGCAGGGAAGGGGGCTTGAGGAGTCGCGCGCGTAGGCCTGAGAGAGAGTTGTTAGGGGTCGCTTGGTGGTGGCGGCGGGAGGGACCCCTTAGGCTTAGGGGCGTGCGGAAGTGGGGCAGGGGTCAGGGCGGAGGCGCGCGGTGATGTGACTGGGGTGGGTGTCCTTTGGCCTGTTGCTGGGAGCCCATCGCTGGCCACCCAGGCCCGGGGCGAGCTGAGGAACGCATTCTGGAGGGTCTTTAGGGCCACCGAATCCCGGTGGCGTTGGGGGACTGAATGTTACACGTGGCGGCATGGCGTCATTATTTACCAAATATCGAGTATTCTGCCAGGCACTGCTATAGAAGTAGAGGCTACTGCACGAACTAGTCAGAGTAGGTTCCTGCCTCAGGCCAAAAGAGACAGTTGACAAGTGATGAGTAACAATGATAAAGCAGTGCTTTAAGGCTTTGATACGTTATCCCAAGTGAAATACAGGAGAATATCCCGCTTCTTTGGCTGGAGTGGTTGGGAATCTCCTCTCTGGGGAAGTGACGTGGGAGGGAGGTCAGCCGTGTAAAGAACAACCCGGGCAGAGGAACAATAAAGCGCAAAGGCCTTGAGGTAGGAAGGAGCTTGTGGTGTTTGCACCTGGAGCAGAGAGAACAGGTGAGGGTGCAGAAGGTGTATATGGAGCAGAGGGACCAGACGATGATGGAGATGAGATGGGGAACCAGATCCTGTAGGGCCTTGTAAACCTAGCTGTGGGCTTTGGCTTTTATTCCGGCTTCAGTAGGGAGCCGTGGGAGTTTCTGAGCATCGGAGCAACGTGACCTGCCCTGCGTTTCGAGAAACGCACCTGCTGAGGGAAGATGGAAGTGGAGCAGGAACAAGAGTGGGAAGGAGGGGGACAGACCAGTGAGGAGGCAAGTGGGTGGCTCGTCCTGCAGTGCAGGCGGGAAGAATCTGTCAGGCTCAGGTTGCCTTTGGGCCAGCAGGACGGGTAGGGAAGAGGAGCCCAGGATGACTGGGATTTGTGGTCTGAGCAACAGGCTGGATGGAAAAGGCTGAGGGAGAGGAGGTTTGGGGGTGCGGCTCTGTGGGTGGAGCTTAGATGGAGTGAGTGGGCAGGGTTTAGGGGGTGGTGTTAGAGTCGTGGCTTTGTAGCCCTGCCTACTCTGGGAACCTGTTGTTTCCTTGCCTCTCCCCCTCCATCCTACACTTCCCCACGCAGGCCTCTCCTGTCCCTTAGAGAGGTTCCTTCCCCACTCAGGGCCTTTGCCACACCCTTCCCTCCTTGTGGATGCTCTTTCCCTCTCTCAGTGCTTCAGTCAGCTGCTCTGTGGCAGGCCCTCTGCTGGATGCAAGAGAACCAGGATAATTCCATTCAGTTGGGGGAAGGAGAGGACGTCTCCAGGAGGAGTGCTCTCAGCTACACAGAGTCAGGGCTGGTCTCTGCGGGCCCAGAGAAGCTGAGGGCTCTGGGAAGACTCACAGGGTTGGCGACACTGGAGAGCAGTGTCTAAAGTGACATGACTCAAAAGTGGCCTGCATTCCAGCACTGTGCTGGGGACCCTAACTGAAGCAAGCCCCTGACCCCATTTTGGGGGGTGCTCCCAGCCTGAATCCTTCCCTGGTGGGTGCACACACGTGCACTTACAGGAGCTGCACGCAGCACCGTGGGAGCCCTGGGGGTGGGAAGAGGACCAGCCCTGGAGGCGTTGCACCAGAGCTGAGTCTCGAGGATGCAGAGGAGTTAGGTGCCCGAGAAAAAGGAGCATTTCGTTCAGCAAACCCTTCCCGAGCCCTGCCCTCGAGGGGTCCCTCTTTGGTGAGGGAGTCAGACAGAGGCCCAAGTGGTCTGAGGCTGCGACAAGGGCAGCAGGAGTCAGGGAGGCTCCATCTGTCTGCCCCGCTGGGCAGAGGGCAGATCACCTGTGGATCTCCCCTCACACCCGGAGACCAGGTTCTGGGGTGCTGGCCACCGCAGGCTCTGGGGCCAGCCTGCCTGGGGCTGACCCCCAGCTGTGCCCGTCATCTGTCTGTGCCACCTTGGGCAGATAGCTTCCTGTCTCTGGGCCTCGGCTCCAGTAATCATGTGTATCGGAGGGTCATTTGCAGCACCTACCTTGGAAGTTTTTGGGACAAGTCCATGCGTTCCCTCCTTCATTCTTTCAGGAGATGTTTATTGAGTATGTCCTCTGTCTCAGGCACTCTCCCGGGTGCATGAGACATAGCAGGAAAAAAAAAAAAAGTCCCTGCTTTCTCAGCTCCTTATGGGGACAGACAATAAACAAGATAATGGCCATGGCAGGTGTGGCTCAGCGGAGTGATTGAGTGCTGGCCTGCAAACTGAAAGGTTGCTGGTTCGATTCCTGGTCAGGGCACATGCCTGGGTTGTGGGCCAGGTCCCCAGCAGGGGGCATGTGGAGGCAATCAATTGCTATATCTCTCACAAGTCAATGTTTCTCTCCCTCACTTTCTCCCTCCCATCCCATCTCTCTAAAATAAATAAAGTAAATTAAAAATAAAAACAAGGTAATAAGCTGTGGCTCTCAGGTTTGAGTGCAGGGGGCTGGATTCTGGGAGTCTGGGCAGGAGCCTGACAATTCGCATTCCAACAAGCTCCCACCCAAAACTCAAGTTGCGGGTCCGGGGACCGCACTCTGAGAACACCGAGAACTGATAGAGTGCCCCGGACAGCGACAAGTGGCTTCAAGGAAAATAAGCAGAGAAAGGCTTTGGAGGGTGTCAGGATAAGGCCTCAGGGCTGTGCTTTTAAACAGGCCTCACAGAGAAGGTGACATTTGAACAGAGGCCTGGAGGAGGGGCGGGAGGAAAGCCGCAGGGCCAGCTGGGGAAGAACATTTTGCGGGGCAGAGGGGATAGCCTGTGCAAAGGTCCTGAGGCAGGACCAAGCCTGGAGTGTTGAAGGAATGAGAGAGGAGGCAAGTGGCTGGAGCTGAGTGAGCAGTGGGGAGAGGCAGGAGGTGGTGCCTGAACGTGGGTGATTGTGCAGGGTCTGGTGGGCCACGATGCAGACTTGACTGTAACTCAGCGTGAGACGGGCCCCAGGGCCTGGCTGTGAGCAGGGCAGGAACGGGCTGACCTGCCCTGGGTGCAGAGGATCCTTCTGACTGCTGGGTGGAGAGCTTGAGGAGCGGGCAGGGTGGGATGAGGCAGTCAGGGAGAGGCTCTTCCTTCACTCAGCAGGCATTTTTCCAGCAGCCTCTCTGCCTGTGACTGTTGTAGGCTCTGGCCATATTTCAGTAAGCTCCTCTTCCAGCAGGGGGAGACAGACAAACAGCAAGGCTCAAAATACCAAAGCAAATGGCCTGAGAGAGCTGAGGGACCAGGAAGGAAGTCCAGCAGGGGGCTGGGAAGCTGTGGGACAGCTGTGGGGAGGCAGAGCTAATGGGAGTTGCAGACAGAGCGAGCATGCAGGCTGAGTGAACTGTATGGGAAGAGAGAAGTTGGGGTGACTCCATGGTGGTTGGCCTGATGAGAGCTACTGTTTGTTGAATGGGGGGCAATCAGGAGCTGGCTCTGCAGTCTGAGGATCGTGAAGAGACATCCTCATGGTGTGGGCAGCTGGGCCTGCTGTCAGCCTGGGGCTGGGAGGGCGTGGGGCGGGGACTGGGTCAAGGCACTGGACTCTAAGGCAGGAGTGATGGGCTCAGGGATGGCATGTACAGCCCTGCGGTTGGGTGACATGGAATGAGAACACCAAGGGAGTGCGGCTCACAGAGAAACCAGTGCCCAGAGAGAGCACCCAACGTTGTGTTCCTGACGCAGGCACTGGTCAGGATCTGCTGCCAAAGGGGCGAGAAAGGGGAGAGCAGAGTGTTTGCCGAGCTCCTGCCTGGTGGAGGGGCACCCGGGCCACCTCCTTCTAATGCAGCCTTAGCCTGCGTGTGCGTTGAGGGCCATGCCTGGGACAGGGAACTAGCATAGGAACTTGATTCTGCTGCTGCTGACACCCTCCCTCCCACCTCACTCGGTCACAGCCCACTGACCCAGGGCGGCCAGCTGGCCCCCTTGTGCCCCACCCCTGCCAGGCCAGGCCTGGCCACTCCTCTGGATTCCTATAAGCCCCTCAGCTTGCTATGCCGAACATTTAAAAAATTTAAAAAAGTATTTATTTACCCTGGCTGGTGTGGCTCAGTGGATTGAGTGCCAGCCTGTGAACCAAAGGGTCGCTGGTTCGATTCCCAGTCAGGGCACATGCCTGGGTTGCGGGCCCGGTCCCCAGTAGGGGGCGCACGAGAGGCAACCACATGCTGATGTTTCTCTCCCTCTGTCCCTCCTTTCCCCTCTGTCTGAAAATAAATAAAATCTTTCTTTAAAAAAACATTTTTTTTTTTTTAGAGAGAGAGTGGGGAGGAGAGGGAGAGATTTATCAGTGTGAGAGAGAAACATCAACTGGTTGCCTGTCAGGCGTGCCCCAACCAGGGACCAAACCCAGCGTAGTCACGTGCCCTGACCGGGAATTGAACCAGTGACCTTTTGATTTGTGGGACAACACTCAACCAACTGAGGCACACCCATCAGGGCTGCCCCACATTTTCTGAAACAGTTTTTGTTTTCTTTTTTAATTTAAATACAAAAGATAGCACCCTAAGTCCACTGTTCTGTACCTTGCTTTCGCTCTCTAACAATGTGCCTTTCAGAGCCCTCTGGGTCGATACACAGAACACTTCCTCATCCCTTTGTCCAGCTGCATAATATTCCAGGGGGCGGACTCGATATCCTTTATTTAAACAGTGCCCCAGGGGAGAACATTTAGGTGGTTTCCAACCTTTTGCCATTGCAAACAGTGCTGCCGGAAATACCCTGGTGAACACAGGTTTTTATCATGCGACAGAGTACTTGTAGCACAAACCCCCGGATGTGGAATTTCGGCCTCCCTGCTTTGATTTCTTAACTGAGGTCTAACTTACACAGGGTAACATGTACGGTCTCAGGCATACCCCAGGGTGCCCAGTGTGTCCCCATCACCCCAGAAACCACCCCCACCATACCCCCTCCCAGTCAGTCCCTCCCACCCCAGAAGCGGCCGCTAGCCTGATTTCTAGCACCAGAGATTAGTCGATCCTACAATTCTGTGTGCACGTCAGCGTACAATAGATGCCCTTGTTAAACGGAGGTGAAATGACCCACTTTAAAGGGCACAGTTGGTGGCATTTAACACGTTCACTGACTTGTGCAGGAAAGCCCTCACCCCTCTGCAGTCACTCCCCGTTCCCCCAGCACATGCTCCAGTGTCTAGCTTCTTCCACACGTGTTTGAGGCGTGTCCATCCTAGGTGTGTGTCTTGGTAGCTGCCTGCTGTCTGCCGCTGAGGAACATGCCTTTGCGGACCCACATCTGCTGTGACACGTCCCAGTTGGCTTGGGGTTTTTCCATGCTGCCAAGGTCTAGGCTAAGCTGCTATAACAAAGAAGCCCCAAAGCACAGTGATCCAGGCAAGATACAAATCTCTTTCTCCACGTAACCATCCAAAGGCAGGCAGGCGTGCAAGGTAGGCAGGCAGCTCTGCTCCAGAAAGGTTGTCAAGGGCCCAGGTTCCTTCCATCTTGTTGCTCTGCGTTCCCTGCAGCGTTGGCCTCGTCCTGGTGTTCAAGGTTGGCTCTGGCCATCCCAAAGGGGGAAGAGGCAGGAGGGCAGGCTTTTGTTTCAGGCTGTCCCAGAAGCTGAACACCTTCCAGTCACCCTAGGTACGTCAGCTAGAATTTGGTCATGTGACCATTGCCCAGCAGTACATCCTAGGAAATGTAGTCTCTGGCCAGGCTGCCTGTGGTAGCTCCAAGGCGAGGGATCTGTTGCAAAAAGGACCAAAGGGAGGCTGGATCTGGGGGGTGGTTATGGGATCCAGAGGTGTTTCCTTGAACTCAGACAGCTGACCTGTCCCTAACCCCCTTCTCCGTACTGGCTGGGTCTCGGCCTGGCACTGAGACATGTACTGTTTTAAAACTTTTTTCATAGCCCTGGCTCAGTAGATTGAGCGCGGGCTGCAAACCAGTGTCACAGGTTTGATTCCCAGCCAGGGTGCATGCCTGGGTTGCAGGCCATAACCCCCAGCAACCGCACATTGATCTCTCTCTCTCTCTCTCTTTCTCCCTTCCCTCTCTAAAAAAAAATAAATAAAGCTTTTTTCATAATTTCAAATGTACAGGAAAGTTGAAAGAATAAAGAAAGTACAAAGAACAAGTGAAGCCAGATTCACCAGTTTTCACATTTTACCCTTTTGTTACAATTTGCATGCACACTTTTTTTAAAAAAGATTTTATTTATTTCTAGAGAGAGGGGAAGGGAGGGAGAAAGAGAGAGAAACATCAATGTGTGGTTGCCTCTCACATGGCCCCCACTGGGAGCCAAAAATATTATTATTTGAAAATAATATTTTCAAAAATATTTCCATAGTAGTTATTTACCTCTGAAGTACTTGAGGGAGTGTTGCCTTAGAATATTCTCTTACTGAACCACAGAGAAGCTACCGGCTCAAATAGGCTTAACCTGAGTACAGTCTCGAGTCTAAGCTACCAGAGGATGTGTACCTTTATATCAATACATCTTGTCAAAATAGACCCGCGAACATTGTCTCACAGGTCACAAGTAAGAAACATAAACGCATGTGAATAATGATTCGATGCGGGCACATTGGCTGTGGTGACAGAGAGGGGGCGAGACACAGGTGGCAGTGCATTGATTTTTGGGGAGGCCAGAGAAAGGAACACATTCAAAATAAAGAGCGCTTTTGTGTTTGTGAAGGCATGGGCAACCTCGGACTGCTCGGCTAGGAAGGGACCTGGTCGGTGTGTGCGTCAGGGCGCTCCCTGGCACCTGGCGTGGTGGCTGGCCTGCAGGAGGCGCTGCCCAGCGGTCTGTTGAATGAAGGCCTGGGCTGATGGGTGCGCGATGACATCGAGGACAGGGTTTGTAGGAAAGAGAGGGGTGTGCTGAGGACCAGGCCTGTGACCGAGGTGGGGACAGAGCGTGGCAAGGGGGTCTGCAAGGGGCAAGTGACCAGGGAGGAAGGGATGTCTGGGGCGCAGACACGTGAGGCAAGGGCTAGACTGTGGTGGGGAGTGGGGTGTAATCGTATTGGGTAGTTATAATTATATTGGATAATTATACCCAATGTAATTATATTGGGTAATACAATTATGCTGGATATAATTACGTGTGGAGCACCTGGAACGTGCCGGCACCTGCGCGCCTGCAGGTGGGAGGCCTTTCCAGGCCCTTGGAGCACGCCACAGTCTGCTGTCAGGGTGGGCGCAGGGCGGGCGTAGGGCGGTGGAGGACACGACAGCCCTCACCCAGCCCCGACTTGCCCAGCAGGATGCATGAAAAGCGGCGGCCGGGCCCGGGGCCCGGGGTGCCCCCGAAGCGGGCCCGTGGGGGTCCCTGGGAGGAGGAAGAGGCGCTCCGGCCATCCCAGTTTGAGGAAGAGCTGGCGCTGATGGAGGAGATAGAGGCAGAGCGCCGACTGCAGGAGCAGGAGGAGGAGGAGCTGCAGCCAGCCCTGGAGCAGGCTGCGGACAGTGAGGCCTGGGACCCCCTGCACCCCCGCCCACCTTGCCTCCAAACAGAGTCAGCCACAGAGCTCACCCGTACTCTCTGACCTCTGGCCTACTTTGAGTGCCACAAAGGGTTGACCTTTCACCCCACACCATTAGTGCTACCTCTGTTGCCTGTGGCTTCTACTCTGACCTTGACCCTTGACCTGGCAATCCCTCCTGAGTTTCTTACCTGGTCCAGACCACCAGCTCCACTTGACTTCCCTTTCTGCGGGCTGGGCTGAGGGAGGACCACCAGTCCACTAGCCCTACCTTCCCCTGCAGGGCAGTTCTCTTTAGAGGCAGTAGATTCCCGCTGGCTTCGGCCCACCCCACGCCCCCTGGACCCCGACACGGAACCCCTCATCTTCCAGCAGTTGGAGATTGACCATTATGTGGGTGAGTTTGGGGTACATGGGACCAGGGTTGGCAGGTGGGGCCCTGAGCCCCTGGGGTGGAGCCTGGGCTGGGGCTGCCCCGGCTAGGCAGCAAGAAGTCCAGCAAGGGGGTCAGAGCGCAGGTGTCAGGGGTCTGGATGGGGGGTGTGTGACTGCAAAGATGTAGCTCAAGGGGCCTGTTTAGAATGACAGTACCATCTTGTACCCTGATTCTGGTGGTGGTCTGTGAACTCTACACGGGTTGAAGTTCATAACTACACATATACCAGGTTGATTTTACTTTTTCAATTTTTTCTTTCAATTTTTTTTTTTTCAAATTTTTTTTTGCCAAAAACAGGTGGGGGCTCCCGCTAGCTATGGGGTGGAAAGTGGGCTGTAGGGGGCAGGGCGGCAGTGGAAGGGCTGAGACGAGGTGGTGTGGCCAATGCAGCTGGCCGATGTGGGCGGAAGCTCCTCAAGCAACAGGAATGGGGGGCTGTGCTCCCAGTGCAGGAAAGGCGGGGGAGGCAAGCCTTGCAGGAGTCCGGGGGCAGCCCTGGCTTACCCCGTTACACCCCCAGGCCCAGCCCGGCCCCTGCCTGGGGTGCCCTCACCGCCCCACAGCTCCGTGCCTGTGCTCCGTGCCTTTGGGGTCACTGACGAGGGTGTCTCCGTCTGCTGCCACATCCACGGCTTTGCGCCCTATTTCTACACCCCTGCGCCCCCTGGTGAGTGGCCCCCACCCAGAAGACCTCTCCTCTCCCCTGACCACCTGGTGGCCTCTGCACTTCTGACTGGCCCTCCCACCCCCAGGCTTTGGGCCCGAGCACCTGGATGACTTCCAGCGGGAGCTGAATGGGGCCATCAGCCGGGACCAGCGCGCGGGGAAGGAGCTCAAGGGGCCTGCTGTGCTGGCTGTGGAGCTGTGCTCCCGGGAGAGTGCGTACCCCTGCGGGCTGGGTGCAGGGGGGCGGTCCCTCCGGACCCGTGCCAGCCCCCTCTGTCCCCCGCAGGCATGTTTGGGTACCACGGGCACGGCCCCTCCCCGTTCCTGCGCATCACCCTGGCCTTGCCCCGCCTTGTGGCCCCCGCCCGCCGCCTCCTGGAGCAGGGTGTCCGTGTGGCAGGCCTGGGCACCCCCAGCTTCGCACCCTACGAGGCCAACGTTGACTTTGAGATCCGGTACACGCCCCCACCTGGCTTCTCCACCCTCCGACTCACTCCCCCTGGCCGGCCTCTGCCCACTGACCTTCTCGCTCCAGGTTCATGGTGGACGCCGACATCGTGGGCTGCAATTGGCTGGAACTCCCTGCTGGGACATATGTCCTTAGGACAAAGGGGAAGGTGTGGGACTCTGCCTGGGGTGGGGGACAGGGAGCTGGGTCCCTGCAGCTGCTGACACACCCTGTCCCTCAGGCCACCCATTGTCAGCTGGAGGCAGATGTGCTCTGGTCGAAAGTGGTCAGTCACCCACCAGAAGGGGAGTGGCAGCGAATCGCGCCCCTGCGTGTGCTCAGCTTCGACATCGAGTGTGCCGGCCGCAAAGGTCTGTCCCCAGGGCGGGGTCCGTGGGCGGTGGGGACGGAGCAGAGTGGGCAGACGGGGTATTGTGGGGGTGGGGATTGGTGGTGTGACCACCCTGGTGTGTCATGAGGGAGGGGTGGGTCCGGTCCCCTTCACCTCCTCCCCCCTCCCACCCAGGCATCTTCCCTGAGCCCGAGCGGGACCCTGTGATCCAGATCTGCTCACTGGGCCTGCGCTGGGGAGAGTCGGAGCCCTTCCTGCGCCTGGCGCTCACGCTGCGCCCCTGCGCCCCCATCCTGGGCGCCAAGGTGCAGAGCTACGAGCGGGAGGAAGAGCTGCTCCAGGTGACTCTTGTTCCGAGTCCCCCCATTTTCCTTAACACCCCACCCCAACCTCCGCACCCCGGGCTCGAGGCCATTCTCCAAGCCCTCCTGATCCCGAGTCTCGTGTCCCCGGGTTCAGATCCCTTCGCATTGAGGGGTGAGCGTTTTCCCTCTGGACTCTGCATTATTTCCAGAAACAGCTGCCTGATCTTTCTTCAATAGGCAGGAGGGATCTAGGCCTGCTTGTGAGGGCTTCCAGAACGTTCGGGAGGGGGGGTTCGTGGCAGGGGGATGACCAGGATGACAGGCGGGTGTGTACCCTCGCCCCCTGGCAGGCCTGGTCCACCTTCATCTGCACCATGGACCCCGACGTGATCACTGGCTACAACATCCAGAACTTTGACCTTCCGTACCTCATCTCCCGGGCCCAGCACCTCAAGGTAGGGTAGGTGGTGGGGGAGGCTTGACTTCAGACACTGCTTTGGTGGCTCAGGGTGGGGGTGGCCACCCCACACCACCCCCCACCTGCTCCCTTGTGGCTCTGTCCCTGGGGTGGTCCACCTGGCTCTCGCCTGCAGCCTGCCACCCCCGGCAGCTCCAGAGACACCTCCCGGAAACCCTGTTCTGTCTTGTCCCCGCCCTGCTCTCAGTCCTGGAGCTCACCATGGCGCTTGCAGATGTGAGGAGGGCATTTATGGTTCGGTGGGAAACCCTGTGCATTCAGAGGTGCAGACTGAGCGAGGAGGGGTCGAGGCCTCGTCTCCTAGGTTGTAAAATATGTCAGCAAGGCACGAGGAAATGGGGGTTCCTTGAAGAATGTGGCAAAACCTGGGGGCTTGTGGAACCCAGGTTACTCCCTCGGGCAGCCGTAGCTGCACCTCACTGACACGGGCTGTCTTCCTGTCTGGGGCTTGCAAGTCCAAGATCAAGGTGTCGCAGGCTCAGTTCCCTCTGAGGCCTCTCTCCTAACTCCGGCAGCCCCAGGGTCCTGGGGGTTAGACGGCCTTCTCCCTGTCTCTGCTGCCTCCTCCCGCTCTGCCCCATTGCTGCAGCCCCGCTCAGGCCTCTCCCCTCCGCCTGGTCCCTCCCAGGTCAGCGTCTCCAGTGCAGACACAGACACCTCTCCCGACCCCAGGCCCAGCTCTCTGTACTGACCCTGCTTGGGCTCCCCCACCCAGCCGTTCCCCAGGCCCCCAACCTGTGCACCCCCCACCCTCTCACTGAGCTCGGCCTCCTCCCGTCCGCTCCCCATCTGGGTATAGCCCTCCTTGCCCCCTTCACCTTTAGCAGCTGCCTGGCCCCTGACTCTGCTGGTCCAGCTGACCCCCAGTCCATGCTGCCCAGCCAGAAAGGGGCTGCGTTGTAGGGAGTCTTGAGGATGGTCTGGGCTCCGTGCCCCTGGCTCAGGCCTGGGCCCCCCAGGTCAGGGCCACCCACCCCCTCTGCAGCTTCCCACCCACTGTGCCCCTGCAGGTGGACACCTTCCCCTTCCTGGGCCGTGTGGCCAGCCTCCGTTCCACCATCCGGGACTCCTCCTTCCAGTCGAAGCAGACCGGCCGGCGGGACAGCAAGGTGGTCAGCATGGTGGGCCGTGTGCCCATGGACATGCTGCAGGTGTGGCTGGGCAGGGCAAGCAGGGGGGCAGGGCAGTCTTGGCCCTGAGGGACCACTGCCTGGGGCCTGTGCTCACCGTGCGCCTGCACCTCTGCCCCAGGTGCTGCTGCGGGAGTACAAGCTCCGCTCCTACACACTCAACGCCGTGAGCTTCCACTTCCTGGGCGAGCAGAAGGAGGATGTGCAGCACAGCATCATTACCGACCTACAGGTGCCCCCGTGACCTCTGACCCCGTCTCTTGCCCCTGACCTCTGATCCCAGCCTCCCATCTATGCCTCTGACCTCAGCCTTCCCTGGACCTTCCTGACCCTGTACTCCAACCTCCCACCTGTGCTCTTGACCTTCACCTTTACCTCCTGCCCCCCAACCCCTGTCCTTGCCCTGCAGATATAACTATTTCTGTTCGCTCACGTGACCTCTAGCCCCGTGACCTTGATTCTGCTGTCACACACACCAGCACTTCATACAGTTCCCTCCTCCCTCCGACCCCCTCCACTCCCTCCCCATGCCCTCTCCCCGCCCCCCTGACGCCGCCATCCGTGCCCGTCCCCAGAACGGGAACGACCAGACACGCCGCCGCCTGGCGGTGTACTGCCTCAAGGATGCCTTCCTGCCCCTGCGGCTGCTGGAGCGGCTCATGGTGCTGGTGAACGCCATGGAGATGGCACGCGTCACTGGCGTGCCCCTGGGCTACCTGCTCACCCGTGGCCAGCAGGTCAAGGTGGTGTCCCAGCTGCTGCGGCAGGTCAGTGGGCTGAGCCCAGGGCACACCTCCGGTCCCTCACCGCGGGCCCTCCTTCCTGTCCACACCCACTCTCCACTTCCGGTCTCCTCCGCTCCCAGGCCATGCGCGAGGGGCTGCTGATGCCCGTGGTGAAGACAGAGGGTGGCGAGGACTATACGGGAGCTACGGTCATTGAGCCCCTCAAAGGGTGAGACCCTGAGGCTGGGCTGGGGGAGCTGGTGTGGGGGCAGTGAGGGGGGGCTCTAGCCCCGACTCTTCCCGTACCAACAGGTACTACGACGTCCCCATCACCACCCTGGACTTCTCCTCTCTGTACCCATCCATCATGATGGCCCACAACCTGTGCTACACCACGCTGCTGCGGCCCGGGGCCGCCCAGAAACTGGGGTATGATGCCTCCTGTGGCACATGGACCCCCAGACCCGCTAGGGGCCAGTCCCAGGCAGGGTGGGGTGGGGAGCAGAAATAGTGAGGAGGGGAGGGGAGAGGAGATGCAAGAGTGGGGGGCTAGGTGGGAGGCCCGTTGTCACCCCCCACTGTCCTCTGACGCAGCCTGACCGGGGACCAGTTCATCAAGACGCCCACTGGGGATGAGTTTGTGAAGACATCGGTGCGGAAGGGGCTGCTGCCCCAGATCCTGGAAAACCTGCTTAGCGCCCGGAAGAGGTGGGCTCGGGGGCCCCACGCACCCCTGCTCAGAGCTCAATACTGGCCCAGGTTCCCCCCAGCGCTGCCGCTCCATACTTAACCGCGGCTGCGTGTGAATTAGAACAGGTTACCCACTCCGGGCAGCCCTCCTCACCCGCATTGCCGGCCCCCTCTGCGCATTATAGGGTGCGTATACCTGCACCTAGAACCCCTGTGCCCAGACCCGGGCCTCCTGCCCCCCCCAGACCTGGGACGTCACCCCGTGACCTGTGTGCTTCCCCCTCCCCGCAGGGCCAAGGCCGAGCTGGCCAAGGAGACAGACCCCCTGCGGCGGCAGGTCTTGGACGGGAGGCAGCTGGCACTGAAAGTGAGCGCCAACTCTGTGTACGGCTTCACTGGTGCCCAGGTGGGCAAGCTGCCATGCCTGGAGATCTCACAGGTGAGTGTGCGGTCCCCATGGGATGGCGGAGGGACCCGGCTGAGCGAACCAGGCTTCTCTGTGGTGGGGCCACGTCCAGGAGTCCAGGCCTCAGTCACCCCAGCTCATTGGCCTTTTGGAGAGGACTGCCCATTCAGTTCAACACACGCCACCAGAGTTCGCTGTGGGTTGGGCCTTGTGCACTGTGGGTCCAGCAGGTATGAAGCGGCCGGAGGAGAGTTCCACCCTCCCACAGCGCCCAGCCTAGTGGGGGCGCAGAGGCCGATGGGAGTAGATGTGTGCGCGCAGGCACGGTCACCATGAGCTCTGCAAACAGATAAACGGGTGGACCCGGCAGGGCCAGGCTGGGCTGGCGGGGGGAGGACGTGGGGGCGAGCAGTGGTTTTACCCATCCTTCACCAGCCACAGTCACCCTCACACCCCATGACTCCAGCAGCTACACCCAGCCCACATCCTCCCCTGGTCCCAGGGGGCAGGGGAGCGGAGTGCAGGTCCCCTCCCTCCTGCTCACAGGAGAGCTCGGGGCTGGGGGTTGTGCAACAGTGCAGTCAGGCTCTGGCACTTGACTTGCTGTGTATCCCTGGTCACCGCACCATCAGGTATGAGGACCCCCCTCCCGCCCCGGACATGAGGACCCCAGTGAGGATGCTGGGTGGGGCTCGGTCACTCCTGCGCTCTGAAGATCAGCTGGGCCAGGGCCTCCCTCCCCACCCCCACAGCATCCCAGGCCTGTTTACCCAGGCAGCTGTGTGCTGGGACAGAAAAACAGACCCACAGCGCAACCACAGAGGCCCTGAGGTCCTGCCCAGCTGGGAGCAGTGCCGCAGCTCACAGCCTGAGAGGGCCTTGTAAAGGCCTTCCTGTCCAGCCTTTTCCCCCCGAGGGTTTGGGTCCCCGTGCATCCCAACCTTGGTTGCCTCCATCCACGAGGAGTTCCCTCTCGACCTGGCCATTGTGTCGGCCCTTCGCGTGGCTCTGGGCAAAAGGCTCGGCAGAGTTGCCGGTGGGAGGGCTGGGGCATACCCACAGCACCTGCAGCTCAGTGGTGGCCCAGAGGCCACCCTCTGATCCAGGGACTTACTAGAAGGACGCAGAGACTAAGAAGAGCTATCAGACTCTCGGTTAGGGTTTGACGCAGTGAGCTGGGAGGTTCGGGTCGGCTGGAGGAGAAGACGTGTGGGGCAGCATTCAGCCAGGCCAGGCGCCGGCTTCCAGTCTTCCCCCCGGGGTGCCATGCAGACAGACGGTGTGCGCTTCTCCCGTCGGCGGCGGGTGGCGACATCCACAGGGCATCGCCCGCCAGTGCTTTTACCAGAGGTTCGTCACACAGGCCCGGCTGACCACAGTGTGGCTGACCTTGCTGTCCAGCCCATGTAGAGGTCAAGGTGATACAGTGGCTCCTGGTGAACAAAGGCCATTGTCAGGCAGAACATTCCCAGGGCTCAGAAGTTCACTCACAGGGGCCAGTCAAAAGCCAGTCCTCTTTTTGGGCAAGGCGGACCCTTTCCTGCATGCCACCCTGTCGTTGGCCACTCCCAGTCCCTGGGGGCCTCCCCCAGCTACCTGGGATGTTTGGCCACCAGGTTCTTTGAGTCCCTGAGCAAGGCCAGGTGAAAGGGTGCAGCTTCGCTCTTCTGGGGCCGCGGCTGCCTCCTGGCCTCGTCTCTGGCTTTCCTCACCGCGCCTTCCCTCTGTTTCTCTCCTGTGTCTCTTTCTCTTCACTTCTTTCCTTATGTCTCTCTCTCTCAGCCGTTTGGAGCGGGCAAGGGGGGTGGGGGTGGGATGAAATACTGAATCCTTCCAGAAAAAGATAGGAAAGAAAGAGGAACATAGAACAATAGAACAAATAAAAGATAGGTAGTAAAGTTGTGGATTGAAGCCCAGCCCTAATGAGTAGTCACATTACATGTAAGTGGCCTAAACGCTCCAGCTAAAAGTCAAAGGTTTTTCTTCCCTGAGTAGTGTGGCTCAGCGAGGCGGGCGTTATCCCACACACCGGAAGGTCTCTGTTTGGGTTCCTGGTCGGGTTCCTGGTCAGGGTGCATGCCTGGGTTGTGGCCAGACCCCTGCAAGAGGCACCAGTCAGTGTTTCTCTCCCTCCCTCCCCCTTTCTTTAGCAAAATTAATGAAACCTTTTTTTAAAAAATCAGATTTTGTGACTAGACCCAAACAAACAAAAACAGGTGAGTCACCCCTAGCTCCCGTTGCATTTGCCCCTCCTAACTCCCCAGCCTTAGTTTCCTTTTTTTTTTAAGATTTTATTTATTTATGTTTACAGAGAGGGGAAGGGAGGGAGAAAGAGAAGAGAAACATCAGTGTGTGGTTGCCTGTCGTGCACCTCCTACTGGGGACCTGGCCCAGAACCCAGGCACGTGCCCTGACTGGGAATCGAACCAGCATCCCTTTGGTTTGGAGGCTGGCGCTCCATCCACTGAGCCACACCAGCCAGGGCAGTTCCCTTATTTGTAAAATGAGGCTGTTGGGCAGGAGCGGTTGCTCCGAGTGGTGGGGGCAACACCCTCCCTGGCCGCAGTGGACAGTGTGTAGTGTCATTTCCAGTTGCCCAAGGATGGGGGTGGCACTGCTGGCTAGCAGGGAAGGGACCACGGATGTTAGTGGTCTCACACTGTGAGGAGCTGCCGGCAGTGTCACCAGATGTCACGTCACCTCTGCGGAGAGCCCGAGCCAACGGCCTCTTCTGGGCCCGGCGTTTCCGACACTCATCCGATGCAGTCACTGCCTCCTCTGTGCTGGGGACCTACTCTTTCCAACAGGCCATTGGGGAGCAGCTTAGTCTCCCCATTTCACAGACTTGGACACCGATGACCAAAGGGGCAGAATGGTTTGCCCAAGCCCATGCCTCCGGAAGCAGTGGCGGCGGGACCCTGAACCCGTGTCCACGACGGCGGCCCCCAGGCCCTCACCGCGAGGTTCTCTCTCCAACAGAGCGTCACTGGGTTCGGGCGCCAGATGATCGAGAAAACAAAGCAGCTGGTGGAGTCCAAGTACACGCTGGAGAACGGCTACAGTGCCACTGCCAAGGTCAGGCACCACCCTCCCTGCCGCCCAGAATGCACCTGGGGGCGTGCCTGTTGCAGGGAGCTCAGGGGTCCCTCAGTCACACTGTGCCCCTGCCAGGTGGTGTACGGGGACACTGACTCTGTCATGTGCCGGTTTGGCGTCTCCTCGGTGGCTGAGGCGATGGCTCTGGGGCGAGAGGCTGCTGACTGGGTGTCGAGCCACTTCCCCCACCCCATCCGGCTGGAGTTTGAGAAGGTAAATCCCCTCTTCCCCCTTCCTGCACTCTGAGTGGGCAGGTGTGGGTCTTGCTGGTTTTGGGGAGCTTCTCTTTCTTGGGGTGCCTGTAAAGTTTACAGAGGCTTCTATGTGGGGTCCCTCAGGTCCGTCAGCATCTGGGAAACCCCAGTGTTCTCAGGGTCTCCATTTTGGGGGTGCCCTGATCAGGGTGCTCTGGGCGTCCCATTGGGTTCGTGAGCCCCAGTTTCAAGGTGTTTTGCCGTGTGGAGTCTTCTAAGTTGGGGGCCTTGGTTTCCGAAACTTCCAACGCCTGGGCTTTGGGCTTTGCCTGCTGCATGGTATCTGTTTTTGTTGTTTTAAAATTTTTATTTATTTTTAGAGAGGGGAAGAGACAGAGAAAGAGAGGGAGAGAAACATCAATGTGTGGTTGCCTCTTGTGCCCCCTACTGGGGACCTGGCCCCCCAGCCCAGGCTTGTGCCCTGACTGGGACTTGAACTGGTGACCCTTTGGTTCCCAGGCCTGAGTCGCACCAGCCAGGGCTGCATGTTGTCTGTTTTGACAACCTCAGTCTGGAGCGGCTCTGGTTTGGACTTCCCCAGTGCCTGTCAGGTGTGGGGTCCGTCCTGGGTGGCCGGGACTCTGATAGCCCAGTCCTGGATTGTAGGGGGCGTGGGGGGGGTGGCCATTGTCTGGGGCTCCCTGCCCCTGGTGTTGGGCGGGCTTGGGCCGGGAAACCTCACACCAGACTTTATCCCCAGGGTTCAAAGCAGGGTCAGGCTGCAGGGTGCGCTACTCTGGGATTCAGGGCCCCCGGTGTGGGGCAGTCTCTGTCTCAGGCTCACTCCAGGCCTTCATCTCCTCTCTCTTCGGGGTGTCCCCATCTGCCTCTGGCTCTGTCCCAGATTGGGGGCTCCCAGGCTTCACCCCAGTGCCTGGATCCCCTGTTTGGGGCCTGTTTTTAGGTTGGTCCCTGTCTCTGGTTCCTATTTGGGGGCCCTAGTCTGAGGGTCCTGGCATGCTGAGGGTGATCCCCGGCTCAGGTGTTGGGGTCTTAGAGTCTGATCACCCACGCATCCCAATCCCGAGTCCTGAAGCATACTTGTCTGTCAGTTTTGGGCGGTGGGGGGGAGTCTCAGGATCGGACGCCAGCGCCTACAGCCCCAGGGGTCTCAGCCTTGGGCACCCCACAGGTCTACTTCCCCTACCTGCTCATCAGCAAGAAGCGCTATGCGGGTCTGCTCTTCTCTTCCCGGCCGGACACCCATGACCGCATGGATTGCAAGGGCCTGGAGGCCGTGCGCAGGGACAACTGCCCCCTAGTGGCCAACCTTGTCACTGCCTCACTTCGCCGCCTGCTCATTGACCGGTGGGTGTGAGGGAGCAGCCTGGATCCAGACCCCAGGCCAGACCCCAGGCCTCCTCCCGCAGCCCCAGGAGCCCCAGCCCTCCTCCCTGGGGGCACAGGTGGCAGGCCAGCAGCTTCTTGGTGGAGAAGCTGTGGAAAGAGTGTGAGGTTGGACAGCTGTGGGCTTGCAGCCTGTGGCTGGGCTGTGCTCCTCCCCACCTCAGCCCTCAGCAGCCACTTGTGATGTCCCATCTGGCCCACAGAGACCCCCAGGGCGCCGTGGCTCACGCACAGGACGTCATCTCAGACCTGCTGTGCAACCGAATCGACATCTCACAGCTGGTCATCACCAAGGAGCTGACCCGCGCGGCCGCCGACTATGCGGGCAAGCAGGCCCATGTGGAACTTGCCGAGAGGTCCGTCAAGGTTGGGGGGGTGGGGCGGTATCTGGACCATCCAGAAATAGCTCTACCTGCCAGCTGAGCCCACCACTTCCTGGATCCTGCCCACCCTCACCCCGGCCTCCCCACAGGATGAGGAAGCGGGACCCCGGGAGCGCACCCAGCCTGGGAGACCGGGTCCCCTATGTGATCATCAGCGCCGCCAAGGGCGTGGCTGCCTACATGAAGTCTGAGGTCAGGCCCACCTGGGCTGCCCGCGCCCGCCCCGCCCACCTGCCCCGCTCTCACTTCTGCTTTCCGAGCCGGTGGGAGGGTGTTTCCCTCCGTGTGCCCCGTGGGGCCCTGGCAGCCGCCCCCCAAGCACCCGGGGGTCGGCTCTGTGGTGCTCTGCTCCCAGGCCTTCCTGTGCCCTCTAGAGGGCCCCCGTCCCCCCCATTCTTCTGACCCCCCCCTCACTCCTGCTGCAGAGGCATCTAGCCTCACTGCACAGGGCATCCCTCCATCTCTCCGTTTCCAGGGCCCTCTCTGTCTCCTTGACGGTCGTTCTCCGAACCTCTGGTTCCCTCAGATCCACACCCTCCCTCGGCCTGCCCAGATGTCCTGAGACCTCTGACCCCCACACTCCTGACTCAGTCCCTAGTTCCTGTCCAGCCTCTGACTCCAGTCCTTGTTCCCCTTCATTTCTCATCGCTGGGAATGCTGATCCTTCCCTGGTGACCTGAGGGCCCCACCTGTGGATCACAGCACCTGTGGCCATAGCACCAGGGGTCCCCATGACCTGTGACCGGATCCCAGGCTTGCCACTCCCCACAGGACGGCACTGTGCCCAGTGACCGCCCCACACCGTGGTCCCTGATCTGACTGGAGGACCCATCAGTGGTCTTGGTGCCCTTCACCCCGGCGTCCTGCTCTCACAGCTGCCCCCTACTCCCCTCCGCCCTGACCCTGGCGTGTGCGTGGTGTGGTGACCCACCGGCCGCTCTGCCCGCAGGACCCCCTATTCGTGCTGGAGCACAGCCTGCCCATCGACACGCAGTACTACTTGGAGCAGCAGCTCGCCAAGCCGCTGCTGCGCATCTTCGAGCCCATCCTGGGCGAGGGCCGGGCCGAGGCGGTCCTGCTACGTAAGGGGCGCCGGGGTCGGGTGGGTGTGCCTGGGCCCATGGGGAGGGGGACACCTGTCCACGCCTGACCTCGCGCCTTGCCTGCAGGGGGAGACCACACACGCTGTAAGACCGTGCTCACCAGCAAGGTGGGTGGCCTCCTGGCCTTCACCAAGCGCCAGAGCTGCTGCATCGGCTGCCGCACAGTCCTCAGCCACCAAGGTGAGTGCAGGCCCTCGCTCTGATCCTCGACATAGCCCCCCACCGTCCACCCACCTTTGCCCAAGGTCCCCGGCCCACAGACTGGCACCGCTGATCAGATAGGGGCCTGCTCCTGGGTAGGGGTCTCTGTAGTCGCCCCAGGGATTCCCCAGGGAGTTTTCCCCACACACTCGCTCCCTTGTTCTCTGTCTCTGGGGACTTTCACGAGTCGGGATGGGCAGCGGGTGGGGAAGGGGCAGGGATGGAGTGGCCTGGGCCCTGGCCAGGTCCCAGCTCAGTCCAGCTCGCCTGTGCTGACCACGCCCACCCCTAGGAGCCGTGTGCAAGTTCTGTAAGCCCCGGGAGTCGGAGCTCTACCAGAAGGAGGTGAGGGGTCCGGCTTGGGCTGGGTGGGGCGGGGGGTGGGGCCAGAGCCGCTGCTCAGACCCCGGTCCCCAGGTGTCCCACCTGAACGCCCTGGAGGAGCGCTTCTCACGCCTCTGGACCCAGTGCCAGCGCTGCCAGGGTAGCCTGCACGAGGACGTCATCTGCACCAGGTGCGCATGCCTGTGGGGCCCGCCCGCCCAGAACCCTCCGCGCTGCGAAGGCCGGTGGAGCTAGGCCCCTACTCTAGGGTCTCTGGAAGCAGTGCGCGCGCCCCCCCACCCCCCACCCCCACCCCTACCCCCTCTGTCTACAGGGTCTCACTGACCCTCAGCGTCCTGGGCTGCCAGATGGGCCAGTGTCCCTCGCGGGGGGTGGGGGTGGGGGCTACTGAGTGGGGCAGGGGCAGGCACCCTCTGTCTGCCTGGGAAGTGGCTGCGCTGACCCCCTCCCCCAGGGTGGGGCCGGGTTTTCCCCAGGGAACGGGTGGGCGGGGTGGGTTCCCACGCCAGGTGGCCAGGTGACAGGTGATATAGGGCTGGTGGCCCAGCGCCTCAGCAGGCACCCGCTGTTAACGGCTCGTCCCCCCCACCCCACCCCCGTGCCCGCTGAGCAAACAGCCTGTCAGGGCAGGGGGGCGGGTGGGCAGCAGGCTGGGGCCAAAGTCCTGGGAACGGTCTGCTCCGTCAGTGGGCTGGGCAGCGGGACTCAGGTGCAGCCCCAGGCAGCCAGCCCTGACCCCTGACCCCGCCCACAGCCGGGACTGCCCCATCTTCTACATGCGCAAGAAGGTGCGGAAGGACCTGGAGGACCAGGAGCAGCTTCTGAGACGCTTTGGGCCCCCTGGCCCCGAGGTCTGGTGACCTCTGACCTCTGCTGGCATCCCCTGAGGGTCTGGGGGGTGGGATTGGTGGAGAATCAATAAAATTTGGGCCTTTTGTTACCTGGTGCTTTGTGGTTGGTATCTGGGGGCACAAGGTCACTGTCAGGCCCTGACCCAGGTGGGGTGTCTCCACTCTAGGATCCCCTGACCCCCAGGATGCCCCCACCGGACTTCAAACCCTGGGCTCCCGCTTTTGCTGCCAACCCAGGAGGGCCAGGTGCCTCAGTGTCCCCCCAGGGCCCAAGTGAGCACCTATAGGTGCCAGCCCCTCTCCGCCCTGCCCACCCTCCCTGGGGGCCAGCCGGCCTCCAGGTGCCAGCCAGTTCCCTCTGGGCCTGGGGCAGCCCCGGCACGGGGGCCCACTCCCCACCCGGCCCAGGGGCCTCCCCTCTCACGTCACACCCACGATGTTTCCACCTGAGGGTCCACATCCGCTGTGGGCCTGCCTTCTCCTCAGGGACGGCCTCCCGCCCTTGACCCCCATGGCACTGGCTGAGGGCCCCTTAGCCCCTCCTTTACTTTTTGGGGGGCCTCCAAACCCAGCTCCTCTCCCATCTCTGCCCCTCAGGGTCACCCCCTGGGCTCCCAACCATGGGGATCCCCAAATCCAGAGGGCTCCTGGGCCCGCCTCCCTCCCACGTGACTCAGAGATTGTGCAATCCAGCCCCCTCCCCCGATCCCCTCCCTGAGGGGATTTTCGAGGAGGGCTGAGCTCCCAGCGCCCCAGCGCCCTACCGTCCAGGGGGCTGGGCCAAGGTATAAATAGGGGTGGCTGCTTTGGAGCAGCGAGCCCAGCCCTGCACCACCATGCTCGCCCTGGAGGCTGCACAGTGAGTGAGACCCCTCCACCTTCCTGCGAAACTCTGGCTGCAGCACCCCCAGGCCCTCTGCCAGGTCTCCCCCTGCGGTGGTTTCAGCCATCAGCCCGCTGGGGGGGGCGTAGGGGGGTCCACATTCACTGCTCCCCATCTGGGTCCCTTCTTTCCCCTCCCACCTCTGGTTCTCGCCTCCATCCCTCCCCGTCTCCTCCCGAACCCCAGGACCCTACCAACCTTTCCCTGTGAGGCTTGTCTCCCCCATGCTGTTGCCTCCCAGGGGGCCTCCATCTCTGTCTGTCTGTCCGTCCCTGGGTCCTGCTGGGTCCCACTCACTGTGTCTGCTCTGTTTCCCTCCTTCACCCATTGCTCCCTCTGTCCTGTCCGTCTGTCTCCACCTCTTTCTGATTCTCTGTCCGCCTGTCTCACCCATCCTGTCCCCGCCGGGCCCCCCACCCCATCGTTCTGTCTCTTCTGGGCTCACTCAGTCCATAGTCTGCATCCCTGCGTGCATGTCTGCCCCCCTCCTCCCTCCCCTGCTCCCTCCGTGTGCTCCCACCGAGCCTCAGTCTCCCCACCTCGGCCCAGGCGCCTGTCCAGCCCTCTCCCCGTCCCAGGTGGACCCACTGGATGGACTGGCTAATAGAGGTCCCGCCCTACCCCCACTCACCCACAGGCACCCACATCTCTGGGGACTTTCTCTCCCTCACTTTCCCTACCCCCCTACCAGCCTCTCTCTATGCAAATCCCAAGGGGAGGGGGGACATTTGCCTGGCTCCCGCCCCCCACTTCCTGTCCCGGTGGGGTAGTGGGGGTGAGTGGGGGGGCCGGTCTCACACATGAACACAGAGCTGCCGTGGTCACAGCTGCAGCCACCTCCTCCCCGCCGACCCCAACCACGTCGAGACTCAGGTGGCAGAAGGCACCCCTGACATGCCCTTGTGTCTCTCCCCCTCCAGGCTCGAGGGGCCGCACCTCAGCTGTCTGGTGAGTCAGGGCCCTGGGGCCGGGAGGGGTAGGAGGACTCACAGTGCCCTCTGTGACCTCCCTGCCTCAGTTTCCCTCTCTGCTCCTTCCTGTCACTTTGTCTTCTTTGACCCTCCCTCAGTGTCTTCCTCCACCACCCTCCCCCTCCTCGCTCCCCCCACCCCTAACTGCACCACAGCTGTTTTTCTGAGGTCTCTCTCCTCTCAGGCCCTGGGTCCACTTCCTTGGAGTGGGGTTCGGGGGGCAGTTCTTTGTATCTTTGCCCTTCTATCTCTTTCTCTGTCCGCCCCACATTTGGCAAATCTATTCCTTCCTCTTTCCTCCTCTGGCTTTATATTTTCAAAATTTTGGTCTGTCATATATCAGATACGCACTACTGTACCTACAACCCACAGTCTGGTCCAGGAGATAAAATCTCACTCCGGGCCTTGAAAGACACCCGCTTCGGGTGTCCTACCCTCCTCCTCCTGACGAGTTCTGCTTTTTTGAGAGAATGGAGGCACGACTTACTGGAAGTCGGTAAAACGGCACGTCTTGTGTCCAGCTTGGTGAGGTCCGACCTTAGACACCTGGGCACCCTCCAGCCAGAGCAAGATGCGGTCACTCTGTTACCTAGGAATACCCCCTTGCGTGGCTCGTTCATCGATACCCCTCTGATTTTTTTCCCACCACACGTTAGTTTGCCTGGTTTTGAACTTTCCATTGCGTGAATCACTCAGTGTCCCCTTTCGGGTCTGTCTTCCTGTGCTCCACACCAAGCGTGTTTCCGGCACTGGCTCTTTTTCTTTGCTGTATAGTACTCCGCCACCAGCCCTCACCCCTGGGGTTATCTCCCACTTTTAATAAAGCTGCTCTGGCTATTCTTGAATGGGGCTATTTTGTGGACCTGCATTTTCAGTTTTCTTAGGTTCCTACCTAGGAGTGAGTTTGTTGGGTCTCAGGATGGTCCGTTTCCAGCCTTAGTCTTGACTACACTTCAGTTGCTAAAGCAAAGTTGATTGTTGGGATGAATGGAATCACCCAGAGGTGGATAAAGGCAGTGCTGAGGCTCTGCCTCTGAAGGAGAGGTTCCACCCTCTCACCCTTCACCCGCCTCCCCCAGGACAGGCAAGGCTGGGGGAATTCTTATGACATGGTGACTGCATTCCAGCGAGGGGCTGGGGTTCCTGGGAGCCCACCGTCTTAGCGGGAACTGGTCGCCGTCTCTCACTTTCTGTGTGTGTCTCCCTCTGGGTCCTCATGGGTTTCCTGTGTGGCGTCTGCCTCTTCTCTCTGTCTCCCTGTGCCTCTGTTACTCTGGCCGTGCCTCTGCCTCTTTCTCTGAGCCCCTGTGCCTCTTTCTCTCCCTCTCCCAGCCTCGCACCTCCTCTCTTCCGTCCCTGCCGGAGTCTCCCACCACGTCTGGGGTGGGGCCAGGGCTCCTCACGGCCCCTATGACCTGCCCCCTTCTCCTCACCCGTCAGTACCCAGATGGAGTCTTCTACGACTTGGACAGCTGCAAGCACTCCAGCTACCCTGACTCAGAAGGGGGCCCTGGTGAGCGGCCCTGGCCCAGACCCCTCCCCACACGTCCCTTGGGTCTGTTCCACGGGTGGGCGGCCAAGGCCCTGGGGGGGTGGGGGCTGCCCCATGGCAGAGCGGGGCAAGGTCAGCGCAGGCCCTCAGCCCCCTCCCTGTCCTCTCCCGCCAGTGCCCACCCATGCAAATCCTGGGGTCGGAGATTTGCAAGGCCCACAATGGCCCCTCTGTGCTAGGGGCTTCCAGGGGGAGGGCACCACGGCCAGACCGCCCGGCTCCTGATGCAGTGCCCTTCCCCCCAGACTCCCTGTGGGGCTGGACTGAGGCCCCGGCTGTCCCTGCCGCCTCCTATGAAGTCTTCGACCCAGCTGTGGTCACCTTTGGCCACCCCCAGGATGTCCAGCTCTGTTATGGACCCTCCTCAACCTACACCCCTGTGGGGAGCCTCGATCCAGCCACCAGCCTGGAGGCCCTGGGGCCCGGCTTCCCAGCATACCCCACGGAGGATTTTCCCGGCCAGGTGCGGGGCAGGGAGATAACTGGCATCCCCACTATTTGACTGGTGTTTGCTGGGTGCCAGGCACTGCCTCCTTCCCTCGGATGAGGCTCCAAGGTTGAGAGCTGTGAGTGCTACATTGCACGGACCAGCTGGCAGACGCACGGGCGCAGTGGCTGTCACCCGTGTGGCACAGCCTTCCATGGAGGTGGTCCGGGTGACCCCTGATCTCGCCATGGAGGTCTGAGCCGAGCCAGGGTGCGGGCTATAAACAGTGGGGAGGCCCATAGCCTGGGCCCAGGAGGAGGAAGCCGAGGGAGGGAGAAATGGGGACCCCCTTCCCACAGGTGACCCTGACCTTCTGCAGACCCTGGGCCCCCCGGCCTACGCCCCATACCCCAGCCCTGTGCTGTCGGAAGAGGAGGATCTCCTGTTGGACAGTCCCGCCCTGGAGGTCTCAGACAGCGAGTCGGATGAAGCCCTCGTGGCTGGCCCCGAGGGGAGGGGATCTGAGGCAGGTATGTGGGAGCAAGTGCGGCGGGGGGGGCTCCCACTGGTGATGGGAGGAGAGGCTCAAGGACCATGGCTTCCCAAATACCTTCCACTCCAGCACCAAAGGCAGTTCCCAGGTTGCTGTGTGACCTTGGGTAAGGACCTCTACCTCTCTGTGCCTTGCTTTCCCATCTGTGCAATGGGGATGACTGCTCCTGGTGACTGGGAGAATTCAGTGGGAGAACATGGCAAACGAGACAGCAGTGTGCGCTTGGCACAGGGTCCACGCTCAGTAACCCCTCACCATTATTGTCAACATAACAGCAGTGGAAAAAGGCACCATCTCAGCTCCCATCTAGCCGACCCCTGTTTCCACCCCTGTGCCCAACATCCCTTATGCACTGCCTCTGGGAAGTCGGATTGTTAGCAACTTTCTCTATCCGGGCCTCAGTTTCCAATCTGTAAAATGAGTCGTTGCTGCCACTCCCATCTCTTGGGGTTGTGATGGAGATGAATGGAGCTCATAATTGTGAACCTCCTTGCATGAAGTGTGTAAAGTTAAAATACACACACACACATAAGCCTCACTTATATAGCTGAGGAGACGCCAGCTCAGAGAGGTTAAGTCACCACCCCAAGGTCACACAGCAGGGAAATGGCAGAGGTGGGGCTCTTGCATCCAGGGCTCCTCAGTGGCCACCTGCCCCAGCTCTGTAGGAGCTCAGCAATCTGAACTCCTGGCCTCCTTAGGGATCCCAGTCCCTGTGGGGCTGAGAGCAGGGAGGCGGGAGCTGGAGAACGGCCAGGCAGATTCACACCCACCCCAGGTCTCCTCACCACCAGCCAGTTCTCTGCTGCAAGCCTTTGAGGCCCTCTGTCGACCCATTTCACAGAATCACTCATCCTGGGCTCCACCAATGTGTATTCCTATGCATCCGCCACCAAGCAGAGCACAGGGTAGAAGCAAATCCTGGAAAGGAAAGCAGGGAAGGGCCGTGGAGGTTCTGGGGTAACAGCTTTAGGGAGGGAGAGCAACTTGCCCGCTTTTGCGGGGCACAGACAGAGCCAGGTATGCGTATCTAACGGCCACCTCCCACACCTCAATTCTCTGGGGGAGGCCGGGAGACTGAGGCTGGGCGGGGCCTGGGCGGGCGGGGCAGGGCGGAGCTGGCAAGAGGGCAGGGTTCGCGGAACACGGTCCCTAACCTGCTTGCATTTCCAACCTCGCAGGGGCCCGCAAAAAGCTGCGCCTGTACCAGTTCCTGCTGGGGCTGTTGACTCGCGGTGACATGCGCGAGTGCGTGTGGTGGGTGGAGCCAGGTGCCGGGGTCTTCCAGTTCTCCTCCAAGCACAAGGAGCTCCTGGCGCGCCGCTGGGGCCAGCAGAAGGGCAACCGCAAGCGCATGACCTACCAGAAGCTGGCCCGCGCCCTGCGCAACTACGCCAAGACCGGCGAGATCCGCAAGGTCAAGCGCAAGCTCACCTACCAGTTTGACATTGCGCTGCTGCCGGCCGCCCGCCGGGCCTGAGCCCCATGGGGGCTCTCAGGCTCCACGTCGGTGTCACGTTGGTGTCCCTTCACCCTAGGTCATAGGACCCGTGGATCCCCCGCTCTGTGGGGGTAGGGGACTGCCATAACCCCTAAGCCCTGCTCAGGGCCCCTCTGGGATTCCCTTGTCATGTCCAGGGTCCCCAGGATCTTCAGGGCTTGGGTCGCAGGACCCACTGACGACTATAGTAAGCGCCTATGTGGAGTGGGGTGGGGTAGTGCTCCCAGAACCCCAAGAGCTTCTCTGGGATCCCCTTGTGATGTCTGATGTCCCCCAGCCAGGCTAGGGGCCTCTCTGAGACCTCTTGTATGTCTGTTATCCCTCAGTCTCACGTCGGGGAGGGGGAGCCACAGGTTTTCACACCAGGAGGGGCCACTGCCTGCAACCGGAGGCCCTGCCCAGGGTCTCCGGGGCGCCTTATCATGTCTCAGATCTCTGTGACTCTTGTCTGCTCTGTCCTCTCAAATCTCTTGGTCATCTTCGAGATCCCCTAATTTGTATGGAACTGCTCTCCTACTTTTTTGGGTGTGTTTGGAATTCTCCAACCACGTTTAGGGAAACTCTGGGTTCTTTCCGTCGTGCCTGAAAGCGATGGTCAGGTCTGTGGTGGGTGGAGGAACCTCATGGAACCCTGTCCTGCCTGTGCCACCTCTGGTACCCCCTCGTCTGCTTGAGATTCTCCAGTCACATCTGTGCCCTCACTCCGGGATTTCCACCTGATATGCCCTTTTGGGGCCCCCACCAGCAGCCCCCAGTTGTCATGGGAACCACCCTCTCTCTTGGGGAATTCTCTATAGGTCCATGCTGGGGGTCATTCTGGCCACTCAGCTGCTTCCTGGTGCTGATATTTTAATAGAAGGAGCTGATATTTTAATAGAAGGAGGTTTCCATGAAATCTTTACTTAAAACTTCAAACAACCCAGCGACCAGCTTTGCCGTGTGGAGACAGACTAGATCAAGGCCGTGTGCCCCCTACTAATGGGCCTCTGTCCTCCAGCCTGTCCTGGACCCCAAGGCTGTCATGCCCTGGTGACTTCTTTCGGTTGCCTTGGCCCTGAACCATTTGCATTTTAACCCCTGGTGTGAACCCAGATGGAGGTGAAGCCTGGTTGGACTGCGGTTGTTCTGATTGGAGCCCCGCCCCCCCCCGCCCCCCTGCCCCTACACTGGCTTCCCACTCAGAGGCTGCAGTGGAGTCCAGAGTCCAGGTCCCTGAGCCTGGGTGGCTGGGGCACCCCAGGTCAAACGTTGTTTCTGGGCCTCTATTGTCCCTTCTGTGAAAGGGGAGAGGAAAGCGAGGAAGATGCTGCAAGTCCGTCCGTTGCAGCCCTGTGGACAGGCCTTTGATACATCTGAAATCCCCCACACACACACTGCTGGCCAGGGGGATGAGGAAGGAGAACCGAGGACCGGGAGATGGAAGAGGTCCTCACAGGGGCACAAAGTGGCTGGTAGCAGAGCCCAGGCTGGGACCTGCCCTGGAGAGAAGGACAGCCCCCTTCCCTACCTGGGGGGAGGGGGTGCCAGCGTGGGTGGGAGGGGCGTGTGGGGGACAAATTGTCCTCCCCAGGGTCTCCTCTTGCAAATGAGCTACCTTTTGCAAAAACTATCACTCCAAGTGTGGAATGGAATAAAATAAAATAAAATAAAATAAAACAAATCAAGGTAGACAGACCTTCTAGGGCCCTTTGTCAGGAACTGCTATGCTGCTGGTCCGCCGGGGCCAGCTGGCCCTCAGGGACGCTGGGACAGTGAGGGTTAGAGCCGGACCAGGCTGAACCTTGAAGGCCGGGTAAGGGCCTCTTCCTTACCATTGGGGTTCTTCCCCTGCCTTCTCTGCTTCCCTTTCTGGTCTCTGCCCTTCCCTGGATTTCTGTTCTCCCTCTCTGAGTCTCCGTCCCCCTCTCTCGGGATACAGCCCGGGGCTGGCGGACCTGTGCGCCCTCCTGGCTCCCGCGGCTCCACCAGCGCTCGGAGCCCGCGGGAGCCCTCTGGTAGTCTGCCTGGCAACACGTGACGCCACGCAAAGGCTGCCGCCGGGTTGGCTGAGCCCTCCTGGGAGGCGGGGAAGTTTCCGGCTCAAAGGGGGTTTTGGAAAGGGGGAGGGGACAGATGGGCAAGAAGAAAACCTGAAGGGGCTTGTCTTTCCTTATACCGGGTCCCTCACCCTGCGACACCACCTCCCCACCAACCGATCCTTCACCTTAACCCCAAGTCCGCCACACCCTTCTGGTCCCTCTCTTCCCCACGTTGCCCCTCCTCCCATAACACCTGGGGTCCCCAAGACCCTCTCTTCCCAACCCCCTCCCCCCACGCGGCGTCCAGTCACCACCACCCCCCATTCAGAAAGCCACAGGTCCCCTTGCCGGGAAGGGCGCCAGCGTCCGGGCACCCCTCCAGGGCCTTCCCGGCCTCCCCACCCGCCCCCGCTGTCCACACGCGCGTCGGGTGCCCGCCGCGCCCGCTCCGGGAATCGTCCTGAGGAGCCGTCAGGGCGCGGTCCCAGGAGGGGCAGCGGCCAGTCCGGGGTCCCAGGTGGCCGGGTCCCCAAGCCCGGGCTTGTGCTCGCTTTCGGGGACGGGCACTGGAGTCCCCGAGCCTCAGTGCCCGCCCTGCAGGCGCAGAGATCTCCTCCCCCGGCAGCCGTCCTGCCTCCTCTGGGAAACCGGACCCTCCCCCGGGGCTCTGGTTTCCCGAAAACTACTGACTTGCAGATACTAAGAATGGTTTTCTAGACCTTGTCTTCTCCCCACCCCCACCCAGGAGTTCAGGCCCTCATCCTTCTCCTTTCCCCCAGCACCTAAGAATCCGCACTCCAGGTCCTCACTGCCCTCGGACCCAGGAGTCCAGGTGCCCGGCCCCTCCTCCCTCGGGTCCCTGAGTCCAGGCCCCCCGCCCCTCCTCCCTCGGACCCAGGTGTCCGAAGACATCCCCCTCCTCCCCAGGGACCTGGCAGTCAGCCATCTCTCCTTGTTGGGCTGTCCGTCGTTTGCCCGGTAGAACAGGCGGACCGCGGGGTGGCAGGGGAGGGTGGGAAGGCCACGGATGCCTCCCGGAGCCTCCTGGGAGTCACTGCACTTTTTAAAGAGTTCCCCTTGGAGGCCCACCTGTCCTCCCCAGGGCCCAGAGGGACACAGCTGCGGTCAGCGGAGCCGGAGGAGGTTTGCCGTTATGCCTGAGGCAAAGCCAGGTGGCTTTCAGCACCCCCTGTCTGAGTGGAGAGGGGTCCTCCTTTCCGAGCGGGGACTAGGGGCTCCTCTTCCTGTGATGTCGGGGGAATGGGGCACCTCGTCTGTGTGGGGGAGGGGTTCCCGCCCTTGGGAGGAATGGCGGTCCCATATCTGTGTTGGGCCGAGGGTCCCCTTCCCTGTGCTGTGAGGGGATTTCTTTGTAGGGAGGTAGGAGGCCCATCTCTGGGTGCAGGTGGAGTCTCTGTGACCTTGAGCCCTTCTTCTGGGTGGGGATGGGCGTCCTGTGTGTGTCAGTGTGAGTGTGTGAGTGTGTGTGTGTGTAGACTGTGGAGTGTGCATGGCGACGGGGTCTTGGTCGAGCCACTCGTCTGAGGGTTGGGGGTTTTCTCTGGAGGGGATGGGGTCCTCGTGTGTGCGGAGATTAAGGGTTCCTGTCTGGTGAGGAGAGCTCTGTGTGAGGATGAGAACTCTTTCTACGGGAATCAGGGCTTCCCACGTAGGAATGAGGGGACCTTCCCAAAAGGGCTGAGAGCTTTACTTTAGTGCAGACGGGGGTGGGTGGGGGGGTCCTTTGAATGGGCCTGGGGGACTGGCGGCAGTTGTATGAAGATGGGGGAATGAACAGACAAGAGAAGTCCCCAGGGAGGGCCCCTCTTCCTGGGGTGTCCAGACCACTGAACAGCCCAGGTCAACCGGGCTGTGGGGTGGGGGTCCTGTCCCTTACTGTGGCTGGGGCCCCAGTGGGCCAGGAACCAGCAAGCAGGGCAGGGCAGAGATGTTGTGGTCAGCACGAGGTGTCCAGTTTCCAGCCCTGGGGAAGAGCTAATTTTACCCCCAGGACCCAAAAGGTTAGGGCCCTGTGGCCTGGACGGATGGGGCAGAGCCTGCCTGGGGCAAGCAGAAACCTGATCCCACAGACTCGGGATTAAAGATAGATTAAAGATAGATTTACGGTAATCTGTCTAGATGGGCTGGACTCCCTGGTGCCAGGGAGAAGGGAGAGACTCCTGGGCTCTGGGAAGGGTGGGGCTGAGCCATCATTCTGAACACCTATCTCACAGCCGCCAAGAAGGCCCCCAAAGGCAAAGATGCGGCCAAACCAGCTCCCAAGGAAGCTGCTCCCAAGGAAGCTGCTCCCGAGGAGGCTGCTCCTCAGGAGGCTGCTCCCCAGGAAGCGCCCCCAGGGGAGGCTCCCCCAGAGTCCCCCAAAGGTGAGATAGTGCCCAGTGGGCTCAACTGGGCTCAGCAGAACCTGGACCCCATCCCCCAGGCTCCCCTGGCCCCTCTGTGCCCTCTCTGTCCTCCACATGGCCCCAGAGCTGACCCGCCCCTCCCCAGCCTCCCGAAGCTCCCCAGGGCCCCCAGGACGGAGCCCAGCCCCTCAGCCTGGCCTTTGAGCTCCCACCCAACACCCAGCTGGTGCATCACCCCGCCAGCGTGGGATGCTCCACCCATGTTTACCCCTGTCCTCCTGCACAGCCCAGTGCAACACCATCCATCCAGCCCCCTCCCATTCACAGGTGGGAAAGCGGGGGCCCGAAGGGGTGGAGGGGACCTGGCCAAGGTTGCGCAGCTTCCCGGGTGACACAAGGTCATTCCCAGGTCAGGAAAAACCACTTCACGCCATGGCCTTTGGCTTCAGAGCTGAGGGTCCCTCCCTGGCTCTAAGTCCGGTCCCCAAAGAAGCCTATTGCCCCTCCCAGCTGCCCTAGACCCTAATCCTGTCTCCCAGCAGAAGTTCCCTCTGAGGAGCAGTCCCCAGTCACTGAAGAGCCCACTGGCGTTTTCCTGAAGAAGCCAGACTCTGTGTCAGTGGAGAAAGGTGAGGGGGGCCTGGGGGAGGAGGGGTGGGGGTCTGGACCCCTGGGTCTGAGGGAAGAGGGGCCGGGTGCTCTCAGCTTCACCATCCTCTCTGTAGAGTCCCCTGGTTCCTGCCTGACCACTTCCTCTCATCCCCCGACTCACTCCCTGCTGCCTCCTTCTCTCCCCACCCAGGAAAGGACGTGGTGATTGTGGCCAAGGTGAATGGGAAGGAGCTCCCAGGCAAACCGACCATTAAGTGGTTCAAGGGGAAATGGATGGAGCTGGGCATCAAGAGCGGGGCCCGGTTTTCCTTCAAGGAGACGCACGACTCCGCCAACAACGTGAGGACCCCTTGGGGCTCGAGGGTCGGGGGGCAGGGCCAGCGGGGGTGCAGGCCTCACCTTCCAGAAGGCCTGTGAATGTCTGAGGTGTAGCCATGGGACAGGATCTGCGGGGCTGGAGGTTGTGCTGGGCAGAAGGGGGAACACAGGTCAGGCAGGCTGCCCTTAGGCACAGTGTGTGCACTCCCAGAAAAGTCTCAGGGGGTTGGGCGTCAGGGGCCTGGGCCCCCCAGGGTCAAGATTATCTCGGCACAGGAGAGACAGCTGCAGGGTGAGGGGAGGACTCGGAAGCAGAGCTATGGATGGGCTCGGGGGGTGTGGGGTGGCGCTGGAGGCAGTCACATGCACCCACACTCCTGGCCCTGGCCCCCAGGTGTACAACTTGGAGCTCCACATTTCGAAGGTGGTGCAGGAGGACCGCGGTGACTACCGCCTGGAGGTCAAAGCCAAGGACACCTGCGACAGCTGTGGCTTCAACATCGATGTGGAGGGTGTGCTGGTGGGGGTGGGGGCCACGGGTTGTGGGTCTGGGGCTCATGTAGGAGGAGAGCATACAGATATGGGGGTGAGGTGGGGTGCATATTCGGGGGCCAGGGTGCTCCACGTTGGGGAGGCAGTCGACATGCTGAGAGCGTGAGGGGCTGAAGGGTTCAGGCTCTCCAGGTGCATCTGCAAAGGCTCGGGAGACGAGCCACGTCAGTTCCAGAGTCACGACACACAGGCTCCAGAAAGAAGCCGCAAGGACCTGGGAAGGGAGGGAGCTCGGGGTTAGAGAGTAAGGGCTCATGGGTTTAGGGTGAGAGTATACGGGATTCATGGGAGGGTACACAGATTTGGAGGCACATGTATGGAGCCCTGAGGGTGTACAGATACTGGAAGGGGGTATAGCCCAGGATGGGGGGGCGGCTTCAATCGGCAGGACACAGAGAACCAGCTTGCCCGGGCCTGGGGAGAAGGGTGCACTGGCCCAGGCGTGAAGGGCTCAGGGTGCACAGCGAGGGCGGTGCGTGGCAGGCAGGGGGTATGTCCAGAAGCAGAGGGAGTCTGGGCTGCACTGAGAGGGTGTGCTGGCCCCAGAGGTGGGAAGAGAGGTGGCCTGGGCCGGAGGGGCTCCTGGTTCTGGGTCAGGACTTGCCTGCAGCTTGCCTTCCTGTCCCCCGTGGTCTCTCCCCAGTGCCCCGACAGGACTCCTCTGGGCAAAGTCTGGAAGACTTCAAACGTTCGTGAGTGGCCCTGGACTCTGGGGACAAGGGGAGGGGCTACCTAGGGAGAAGGGAGGATGGGGGAAGGCAGGACGTGGGGACCCAGGGTGAGTCTGGGGGCACCTCAGCGG